CCAGAAACAATTCTACACATACATGGGCAACTGATTTTTGATAAAGGTTCAGAGGCAAAGGCAAGGTAGTGGAGAAGCGATCACCTTTTCAAAGAAGTTGTGTTGCAAAAATTGGATATACATACGCCCCTCTCCCCCTCAAAAAACAGAGAACTTGGAGCCATACTTTACATCATATACAAAAAAAAATCAACTTAAAATGTATCTTAGACCTAAATGTAAAATCTAAAACTATAGAACTTTTAGAAGAAAACCTGGGAGAGAAGAATGCTGTGCCCTTTGGGCTAGGCAAAGATTTCTTAGATACAACAACAAAAGCACAACCCATAAAAGAACAAATTGCTAACGTGGACTCCATCAAAATTAAAGCCTTTATTCTTCAAAGGGCACTGTTAAGAAGATGAGAGGAAAAGCCACAGTCTGAGAGAGAATCTTTGCTAAGTTTATGTCTAATGAAAGACTCATATCCAGAATACGTAAAGAACTCTCAAAGCCCAACAATTAGAAAACAATTTTTTTTAATGGGCAAAAGATTTGAACAGACTCTTCACCAAAGAAGGTATATGAATGGTAAATAAGCATATGAAAAGATATCCAACATCATTAGTAATGAGAGAAATCAAAATTATAAACTCACGATGAAATTCTACTGTACACCTATTAGAATGACTTAAATTTTAAACACTGATGATACTGGTGTTGGCAAGGATGTGGAGAAACTGGAAATCCCATGTGCTGCTGTTGTGGGTGGAAATGGTGCAACCACTTTGATAGTTTGGTAGTTTCTTAAAAAATTCAATATGCACTTACCATATGATCCAACAATTCCATCTCAGGATATTTACCTAAAATAAAAGAAATTTTATGTCTATAAAAAGACTTCTACACACATTTCTGGTAACTTTATTTGTAATAGCAAAAAGTAGGAAACAACCCAAATGTCTCCCAAAAAGTGAATGGATAAACAGACTGTGGTATATCCAAGCAGTGGAATACTACTCAGCAATAAATAGGAACAAACTGTTGATGCACACAATAACATGGATGAATCTTAATTACATTGAGTGACAAAATCCAGATTTTAAAAAAAGCAAGTACAAATTGTATCATTTTATTCATATAAAAGTTTAGAAAATGCATCCTAACCTGTAGGGACAGTAAGCAAATATGGTTGCTTGAAGGTGAGAAGGAGGTATTACAGAGGGGCAAGAGGAAACTTTTGGAAACAGTGAATAATATATTCACTAGTTTGATTGTGAGGATTATTTCCCAGGTGTGTCAAAATTTATTAAATTGTGCACTTTAAATATGTGGAGTTTATTATGTATCAGTTATAATTCAATAGAGCTCTTAAAAATAGGATGTGAAGCATGATGCCACCTTGATGCTTCAAAAAAAAAGCAGTGGGGGAAGGGTATAGCTCAGTGGTTAGAGCACATGCCTAGCATGCACGAGGTCCTGGGTTCAATCCCCAGTACCTCCATTAATTAACTAAATAAATAAATAAACCTAATACCTCCCCCCTCAAAAAAAACACACAAACAAAATAAATAAAATATATTTTTTAAAAAGCAGCCATATGAATATAGTCAAAGAATTTTGAAAGATATGCACAACATGAAATGCTGGAATTTTCTCCAAGTGGGTTGAATTATGAGTGAGTGAAATGTTATGGAGTGGTTTTTTGTTTTGTTTTGTGTTGCTTTTTTTGGCTTACTCATGTTGTTGCATTTTTAAAAATTGAACTACAGTCAGTTACAATGTGTCAATTTCTGATGTACAACATAATTTCCCAGTCATACATATATATGCATATATTCACTTCCATATTTTTTCATTAAAGGTTATTATAATATATTGAATATATTTTCCTGTGCTATACAGAAGTTTTTAATCTATTTTTACATACAGTGGTTGTCATTTGCAAATTTCAAATTCCCAAATTTTACCCTTCCCACCTCCTTCCCCTGGTAACCATAACATTGTTTACTATGTCTGTAAGTCTGTTTCTGTTTTGTAGATGAGTTCATTAGTGTCCCCTTTTTTCTTTTTTTTTTTATATTACACATATAAATGATATCATATGGTATTTTTCTTTCTCTTTCTGGCTTACTTCACTTAGAATGACAATCTCCATGTCCATCCACGTTGCTGCAAATGGCATTATTTTATTCTTTTTTATCACCAAGTAGTATTCCATTGTATAAATTTACCACATCTTCTTTATCCAGTCATCTATCAATGGACATTTAGGTTGTTTACATTTCTGGCTATTGTATATACTGCTGCAATGAACTTTGGGGTGCAGGTATCTTTTCGAATTAAGAGTACCATCCAGATATATGTCCAGGAGTAGGATTGCTGGATCATATGGTAAGTCTATTTTTAGTCTTTTGAGGAATCTCCATACTGTTTTCCAAAATGGCTGCACCAAACGACATTCCCACCAGCCCTGTAGGGTTCCCTTTTCTCCATACCCTCTCCAGCATTTATCATTTGTGTACTTTTTAAAGATGGCTATTCTGCAATGAGTGTGTATATGTCCATGAATGACTGAAAAATTGTGCTGAACACTGGAATTTGACACAACATTGTAAAATGATTATAAATCAATAAAAAATGTTAAAAAAAATGGCTATTCTGATTGGTATGAGGTAATACCTCATTGTAGTTTTGATTTGCATTTATCTGATTAGTGATATTGAGTATTTTTTCATGTACCTATTGGCCATTTGTATCTCTTCATTGCTTGTTTAGGTCTTTTGCCCATTTTTGGATTGGGTTGTTTGTTTTTTTGTTATTAAGTTGTATGAGCTATTTATATATTCTGGAAATTAAGCCCTTGTCAGTCTCATCATTTACTAATATTTTCTCCCTTTCCATAGGTTGTTGTTTTGTTTTGCTTGTGGTTTCCTTTGCTGTGCAAAAGCTTGTAAGTCTAATTAGGTCCCATTTGTTAGTTTTTGCTTTTATTTCTATTGCCTGGGTAGACTGCCCTGGGAGAACATTCCCAAGATTTATGTCAGAGAATGTTTTGCCTATGTTTTCTTCTAGTAGGTTTACAGTATCTTGTCTTATGTTTAAGTCTATAAGCCATTTTGAATTTACTTTTGTGTATGGAGTGAGGGAGTATTCTAACTTCATTGATTTACATGCTGCTATCCAGTTTCCCAAAACCACTTGCTGAAGAGACTGTCTTTTCCCC